GGGAAAGGAATTGACCCTCTGAAACATGGCTTTGCATCCAGGCAACATGTGTTTCTCACTTCAGTTTCACTAAGCGAGTGGTCCCAGTTCATTTTACAGTGACCATGTGTTCATGCATCAGCACCTGCAAAGTTGTTTAGATACAGTATCATCAAGAACGTTAGTCCAAAGTCTAAAATTCCTGTTGGTTCACAACTGATAAAGCTACATACTGTAATTTGTAGTGATTATAACTCAAATTATAGAAGAAAAGCAAAGGTGATAGAGAAATAATGCAAGAACACTTGCAGTTTCTCCAGAATTAAAGGCTTTCCATTTAGCCATTGCTGTAGCTAGCAAATGCTTTGACAGCTTCAAATCGCCACCTCTAAGGGAAAGGGAAACATGGTAGGAAGGAATAGGACAGACTAACAAAATCAAACTTTACTTTTTGATCTTAGGTCAAATTCAGTTCCTACTGAATCGGCTTACTTTACTCAGAACAAAGCTGGATCTGGGCTATATGGGCAAAATTACTCTGGACTGATACAAACATCAATGCAGACACAAAATAGCCAGTTAAAACACAAGTCTTTTATGCAAAGTGCATCCACAATGTTTAATGTATTCACAAAACTGAACATACTGACACATTTGTGCTGGCAAGAGTGAACCACTCATCACTGTCGATGTACTTTATTTAGCTTTATGTGGTTTGAAAATCAGCAAGTTCAGTCTGTCAAATTAGGCATATCTAACTGTGCAAATTTTTCATTAGCAATTGTCTGTTTGCGTTGGAAGCTGTGGTATCACTCCATTGCACACATCCCTTCTTGCATGCCACATTAAAAGGAAACAAAAACCATGAGAGGCCAAAAGGAGCTGCTCATAGAAAGCCAAGCACAGATTGCTCACCACTAATAGATTGTGGACAGTTGGTCAATGCATTTTCTATAAAAGCTTGGTGTATTTAAAGCAGCTCATTTCATGAGTCACAGGTTACTGCTCTGATGAACTGACCAAATTTCTGAGGACATCTGAACCATGATTTAAGAGTATCTAAAATCACAGACTCCCACTTTTCACTGTGTTGTTTCACATCTTTGTTGCACTTCTTCCCTGAGCTTGAAAGTAATTTCTTTTGTTTTCCCAAACGTGGGAGCTTACTCATGAAAAACTCTTTCTGTCAAGATGTGATAACTCTCCTTTCTTGGTCAAAACTGGCACCCAGTTCTTGAAAGAAATTATCAAACCAAAAGCTCTTGTGCTAATACAGTGATTTGTATTAATTTGGGAATTATTTTGTACTCACAGTGATGAAGGAACAGGCCTTGAATCCTGCCCCGAGGCTTCTTGAGCCCACTTCACCCATCTCTTTTGTGAACAACAGCAGAAACAATGGACTGACTTCCCTCAAAATGTAGAATAAAGATGCTACTTTATGAAGGCTCAGCCAGGAAAGAGTTCTCCATGAAGATCAGAATGACAGAAGCAAATGTTGTACCTGGACAGACAAACAGGAGCATATAGTGTACATGAGGCCTGAGAGCTCATCCCTGCAGGCTCTTCAGTGCTGGCAGAACCCCAGGGAAATACCAGGTCCGGCTGTGAGTACCAGGCTGCAAGGTGGGCTGATGGAGAGGTATAGGGCTGAGTACCACAGAGACCCTTTACACCGATGTTCTTCAGCACTCCAAATGTGTAGCTAATGACTGACAGTGTAAACAACTTACTCATGCATGATTTGTGCTCATCCTAGTCTAGACATCAATGATCTCTCTCAAGTAAGCTGAACAGAACTGGACATGTCCTTTCTGAAATGTTGACTTGCTGGGGATGTGGAGCTAATGCTAAATGTTGCAGATTTTCTTCAAAAAAAAACTTCTCTGGGTTTATTGCTTCATTTAATTGAATTTTCCTTTCTCCTCTCTTTTCTCAAACACAGCTCTTGAAAATGAAACAGTTCAGTCTTGGGCACACCATGTACCTTTTTTCAAAATTCATTGGCATGAAATGCCAATGTAACTGAAAGCAGAACCAACTCATTGATTTAGGAAGCTGTTCTCCATATAGTCTATATTGTTTGTTACTCACTTTCCTGTTTATTATCAGAGGTTGGATGCAGGTGGTTTAGAGAAAAAAAAAAAGTGGAAGTTACATAAAACATCTGGGTTGGATCCTCAAGGGATATAAATTGTTGTTGCACCATTTGCAGGCTCTGGAGGACAGGCTGTACAAAATCAGTGTTGTTTTCTAATATGATCCTACTGTGGACTAGAAAAGAGGTTTATTTCTTCTGTAACACTGTGACCTTGATTATCCTCATTTGTGGTATCTATTTCAGTGAAAGAGCTAATACCTACACTGACTTCAAAGTGTTGCTAAATGTGGTATATGGCTCCTCATATATAATTTCTTTTTCTCAAGCCATTTTCTGTCAGCAGAGAGGCAAGCTAGATGTGTGCTCTGGGTGATTCCTATATCATCATTAGCAGAAAATTAAGCCAGACTGCTGTAAAGTAATTATGCAGCTAAAAGGTGAGCTGTAAGGAAGACACTGATTAAATACTTACCACCACAGTCAGCCCACATTGCTTAATGTCTTGTTTAGGGGATTTCAATCTGTTTTCAAATTGGTGGCCAGTGCCATGGGCTGAACTGAACCTTCTTTCAGGCCTTAAGAAAGAAGTATGCTCAGATAAGCCTGGCCCTTTCTCATCTCAAGAGAATTTTATTTCAGTATCATACAGTACAATACAGGATAACAGCAATTCTTAATCTGTAGCTTGAGGTTGCTCTTGCACCACTAAGCTGTTCTCACGAAAATCTTTCACAGGTTCTTACAGAGGTGCTGCAGTCACAGCAATTCATTGTGGTCACACTGAGGTGTAGCTATCTGTCATGCAAAGAATGGGAAAAGTATGAATGTTTAGAAAGGATGGGATCTGAATTACCTCAATAAAACCTTTCCTACATGAGAGACCTTGGAGCAATGACTGAAGCAGTAATAATAACACTGTACTCTCTATTTCCCCTCCAACACTGTCAAGCTTCATTTTCAACATTCCTGTGAGAAATACATCCACATCTTGTGGATGGTAATTTTGAAGCACTGAGATATTATCACTAATAACTGACTTTATTAATCCTTTCCAGAACAGAGCAGCACACACTGGGACACAGAGATGATGCAGTCCTTGTCCAGAGAGACCCACCAGCAGGACATCAAAGACAACTGTGACAAATGAGATCACGTGATGCAAATGATTAGTGGGTTCCATAGTTTTATTTTGTATTTATTTTTGTATTTTGTATTTATTTTGTATTTGTATTTAAATTTGTATTTATTTTGTATTGCATCCCCTGCTTCCCCCAGCCTTTGACTTCCCTTGCTCAGCTTTCCCCTTTCACCCTGCTGCTTTCCCTTCTCCTTCCCATTCCTCCCTTTCTGCTGACACTGGTCCTAAGAGACAGTACTGAGACAAGTCAAAGGTGCTCAATACAGCCAAAAGGCTGAAGGATTTCCACCCTGGGAAACAAGAAACCTTTGTACCCTTCAGGACACTAGATGGTCCTTTACAAGCAGCTTTTCCCTTGTTTAAGCCTGTTCCTGTTGGTGAGGAGTCTGATGAAACACTCCTAATAAGCAAAGAGGTTTTCTAATATTGCATCTAAACATGACACTGGAAATGGGACGGTTAACGGTCAAATCCAGTGATGTGGGCAGATGCTTGGTGACTGCAGATATTTTGCTTCAACACATTTCCATTCTGTTTTTAAAGTTACCCACACACAAAACTCCCCTTTTCTGTGGACCAGTGCTTCTGAGACAGCCAGAATTTTATCACTTATCCAGGTGATTATTCACACCTTGAATCCTTTCAAAAGTTATCCACCTATCACATGAACGTGAAGGCTCATCTGACCCCATGCTGCCTATGTTGGAAATCTACTCTAGCTTTATCATTAAAAACTGAAAGCAAGACTTTTCCAGAGAGCTGTGAAAGACTATTTAGAAGGGCGTCTATATAACGACAGGACAAGGGGAAATGGCTTCAAACTGAAAGAGGGCAGGTTTAGATTAGGTATTTGGAGAAAATCCTTTACTGTGAGATTGTTGAGGCACTGGGACAGAACACCCAGAGAAGTTGTGGATGTCCCACCCCTGAAAGTGTTCAAGGCTGGACTGGACAGGGCTCTGAGTAACTTGGTCTAGCAGAAGGTGTCCCTGCCCATGACAGGGGGATTGAAACTAGATGATCTTAATATCCCTTCCAATCCAGGCTGGCTTGTGATTCTATGATTTAGTGAGAGCCACTAAACACTGACTGCACCTGAGGAAAATCTGCCCTTGTTGCAACTTTTAATTTCAACAAATTTCAGAGTTTTGCAACTTTTAATTGGCAGCTCACAAAATCTGTAACTTTGACAGTTAAGTGAAAAACACTTCTAGTACCGTTTTTTTCTAGCCTCAGAGCTATAGATGATCCAGGTATTTTGACCTGGTCTTACAGAGGCTGTGAAAGCTTTTTTGTTTCTCAATATATGAAAACTGTCATGCACTGTTGACTGTTCCATCCAAAGGCATACTACATAGCAGCAAACAGAAGTAATTTTACAGAGAAACTTTTGCATATGGCTTGAAAAAAAACCCATCAAGAATTGGCAATGATAGATGATCTCACTAGTGAGATTCAAGAATACTGCTGTTTCACATTTATGTCAGAGAAAAACAAACAATGGACATATTTAAATAATCATTAAAAATGAGATGTCTGGCACAAGGCAGGTTCCAACCCTGTTCTGCCACACATCTTCCGGAAATCTTTTATGGATATTATCTGAGGCCTTCTTATTTGCGTTGCTCATGAAAAAGAACTGTAATGGAGGTTCAAGTGTATGTGTTATCAGCAAAAGGTTCTCTCAAGGGAAATTACATAGAAGGACGTTTTTCTTGTCTTCATGTTTGACATTCAGGAGTAGTGACGAGAAAAGGCAGGCAAAGGAGTCTTTCAGGAAACCACCCAGGAGCAGTGGCAGCATTTCATAGGGATGTGAACCGTTCATCATCTGCTGCAAAGACCCCATTAATGTGGCCTGCTTTTAAATCCAGTGCTTCACAAGGAATCCCATTTTCTAGTGTCACTTCATCTTTATCTTCTAAATTTTCTCTCTCTGTTGACTCTTTATTCTTTCTAAAAACAAGAAAGAAAAAATCATCTTATTCTGTTGACCTGCAGCACTCCACCATGATTCCACAGAAAGAAAACTGCATATTTAGTTAGAAGTTTATCATAGATTATGCTCCTAAAGGCACAATCTGGTGTACTTCCTTGCTGTAGTAAATACACCAGATGGGTTTATCTAAATACAGTAGCTGGGGGACACACAGATTGAAGCCCTTAGCAGTTTGAGATCAGAACTGGAGATCAGAAAAAGTGAAGTAGACATGTTGTAAGTGTATTTTAAATATTATTTCACCTTCTTATTCTGCAACATGACTAGAAGGTGCAAAAGAAAAGCTGGGGCAAAACAAAATTTGAAAAAATTCTCTAAATCTGTTTGGGTTTTTTTATATCAGGAAGGTCTACATTAAGCATGTAGTCTGACCCTGTCATGTACATCATAGATCACATCCCATGATCTGTACAAAATAAAAAATATTTTTTAGAAACAGATTGGTCTTAGACTAACTATAGCCTTCAAATGTGGAAACTTAGTTGCCCTCATATCCATGATTACCTTCTTCAGGACATTCATGACTACTTTCTTAGGTATCTCAATGCTGCAAATCTGCATTTTTTCTTTAAACTTCATTATCAGCCACTTTCCTACCCAGTATTTTACACTTCCGTTTTCTAGATCAAACAATTGCATGGCTTTCACTTTTCCAGACTTCAGTTGTCCTAAAAACATATTAAAATAATGGTTGAATAAAATTATCTACATTTAAAAAAAAAACTAAAAAAGTTATGTAAAATACAATAATGAGGAGATGTAATAAACAAATATCAGTCAACAGGTCATGATGTTCCTTTAATTCCAGATTTACTCTGACCTTGAGAACAATTAGTTCATAGCTGAAAATCCTGCAGTACTTTATGGCCTGCAGCATCAGCGGTTTCAGAGGACAAGAAACTCAAAGGTCAACTGCACTGCTTCTTCCTATCCCACAACATGCATTGTAACAATCTGATTCAGGACAACTGTAAAAATCTGACTCAGTGTAACTGCCAATGACAGAGATATTAACAATAATAAAAATTTATTGGCCTGTGGGAGACTTGACAGTACAGACTTGTTAAAATAAACTTGGGGTGTAGTAGTGGAAACCTCTGACCTCTGGCTGCTTATACTGATAAAAAGGCGTGTTCTTTAATACAGAACTGTGAGGACAGAACATAAAAATTACTAAGAAGGAGGTTCAAAAGAAATGAGAGGAGTAGAAGACATGTGAAACTCATTACCAGAGGAATTCAGAGAAGCTGAAAATTTCCATGAATCCAAGGAGTGACTCAAGTTAAGAGAAGAGAAAACATTGTGAGTTACCCAATACAAGAAGTCCAAATCCAGCTCAGGAAGGCCCACAACTGCAAATTAATTCCTGGTAGAACTGATTTAGGGAAAGACAGTGTGGTTATTCTGTTTTCACTCTTCCCAAGGCAAATGTTTACAGCCCCTGCTGCAGATGGGATTTTGAGGGATAAGGGGAGACTTTGGGCTAGCTCAGGATAGACTGTAGAGGATGATCCTGCCCCTAGGCATGTGACAAACCTATTGCTGTAGGGGGAGGTGTCCTATTGCTGCAAGGATGGGAGAACAAACACAAGGCTGGGAGACAGTGTGTCTGACCCAGCTCTCTGTGGGCACTGAATTCAACAAACCTCTCAGTTCAATAAATGATGCATGAGTCTAACTCAGTACTGAAACTCCTCTGTAGGCAGATTCCTCCTCCCTGACACCCTGAGCATGGACAGCCTGGAGCACGTACTTTTGGTCTTATCTGAACTGAGGTATTTAAATGGTACTTTAAACTGCCTTTAAAGACAAAATGCCAGATTTATAAGAAGCCAACACAATCCTTGGGGCCAGAGTTCCAACATAGTTTACTAGACAAGAGAGTTCCCATTATGTAAGCTCTGAATGGACTTGTAAGAAAGCTAATTACTGGACATACTGAAGTCTTTGAAAACCTGGTCACTTCAGTGTCTGACAAAGAAATCAGCACTTTTGAAATCCTTTTTTCTGATGTCTGGCTTTTTTTTTTTTTTTTTTCCTAGGTAGCCAAACAGCCCAGACCATCCCTTTTACCTCTCCAGTCCTTGCAACAGTAGATAGAAGAAATATATGCTTGGTTTACCCTCTCTCTCACTTCCCCACCCCTGCCTACACATGTTATTGATGTGAAAGGAGGGTTAGAGTTCAGCTACAGATGAACCTGCCCTGAGGAAAGATTATATGTAATGGAAGAGTAGGGAAACAGAGGGAGAAGTGAAAAAAGCATAGCAACTAAAAGAAGTGCATGAGATGGGGAGGGTGCTAAATGAGCACAGGCCAGCAGCAACAAGCCATATTAATGGCAGTGTGATGATAAGAGCATGCGGTTTACACCATATGGAGGGGAACTGCTCAAACTCGGCTGAGTTATTTTTGAAAATACAGAGGGAAATCCCATCTTTCAGCATGATATGAAGCACAAGTGATTATTTTAGCTAGAAAAAACACAACTGTTTATTATAGTTTATTTATATTACATTTATGTAAAATGTTCAAAGATACCCTTAAAGTTTGGCACTATAAAGAAACACAGAGCCATGATGCCACAGAGGGCAGATATGGGCTTCAGGTGGCAACATCATGCAGTTTTACAGAAGAGGTTGCCTATGTTTAGGGCATGAAATAATTCAGTCCATACAACATGAGTGTGATAGGGCTTTAACTATCCACAGATTCCAAATATCTTCCCAGACTCTTTCCCCAACATCATCTTTCATCTACTGTTTGCTGAATTTTGTGGGGTTTCTTTGAAAACTGAAAAGGGTTTTGGAAATTCACGCAACTCCTCTGATTGCAAAATATAACTGAAGGGATTCTGACTATACTACTAAAGGTTCTCTATGAGAAGCACTTAACCTTCACAAGTGTTGTTCTTCTGAGGTCTTTTAACATCCTTCAGGGTAATAAAAAGGCAGAATGGAAAAGTCTATGCAACATGCCACTTTTCATATATTAATTCCCTGCTCTGATATATTTGGGGATACAATCCATTATAGAGTCATTAATTTTGATATTATCTGGTTATCAGCAGGAATTTACCCTTTTTCAGTTCTTTTGCTGTTCCTGTATAAATCTATTGCTGAAGTCAGAATTTTGTGTAAACCTAAACTCTGTGGCAGCCAAAAGCATGGCAGAAGCTGAACTTCTATGGCAGAATCTCAACTCAGCTGAGAAATTTCTATTCCTTATATTCAACCCAGAGCCAGCAGAGATGGCAGGATCAAAATTCCACCTGCTCTCTGTGTTGTTCCCACATGCTCACACTAGGGAAGCATGAATACCCTTTTCTTTTTCACCAGTGCCACCAGGATGGAAATGGAGAGGAAAAGAGAGTATCTCTCTCCTACCCTACCACCAGAAAAGACTCCTAAGCTCATGGGGAGATCTGCCCATGAACCTGTGAAGAGCTGGGTATTTTGGGCTCATCAGGTCATGAGTGGTAAATGAAACCCTGCTCTGTTCCAGCAAGCAGGCCCTCTTCAGCCATAAATTAATCATTACTGTGTGCTCTACCGAGTCTTCTCAAGCTGCAGCAGCATGGTTTTTCAGCCCTACCAGCTTTTGACACTACTGGCTTGGAAAGGACACAGTCACTGCCAGCCTTCCCCTTCTTGGTAGCTTTTTGGGGGTGGTCTGTGAGAGGAGACTCACCCATGCCACAATAAACCTTCACAAGAATGACATCAGTTGTCCTTTTAAAGCCCATCTCTAGTTAGGTGGCCTCCAAGATCATATTCTTACATTCTCCATTTCCTCATTATATCCCAAAACTACTAAGGCATCCATACTTAACAGTTTAAAATTTTGAGTCTTTTCTTCAGAAAAGGAGAGATAGGTTATCTTTACCTAGCTAGTGAAGGATGCATAGCATTAATCTGTCTGAGGCTGCTCTGAAACACAGACCTTACTAACAAGTATTCCATTAAAACAGAAGAAAGACTAGGCTGCTTACTTCTTGTGTTTCTGAATCCCTGAAACAACGAGGAAAACAATCCCAGCCACAATGAGACAAAGAACAACACCAAATACAATAAGCCAGACGGGAGTAGAGGGTTCAACAGGAGGTGATAAGGTTGAGGTTATCTTCAAGAACTGCAGTGTTTTGTCACTCAGTAGGAAGGCATTGTTGATTCTGTTCCGGTTCATCCTTCAAGAGAAAAAACCCAAATAAACAGAAAAACATCACAACTCTTTATAAAGGCATTTTACAAGTTAAAAAGATAGCAGAAAATAAAAGGATTTTTCATGAATGTGCTACAATTTAGTCAGGGCTGAATGTCATCCACCATGATGAAGGAAAGGATGTTATCTACCATGGTGGGGATCAGGCTCTTCTCTCCAGCAACAGGACAAGAGGATATAGCCTCAAACTGCATCAGAGGAGGCTCAGGCTGGACAACAGGAGGAATTTGCTTCATTGCAAGGGTGCTTAAGCATCGGAAAAGGCTGTCCAGGGGGTGGTGGAGTCACCATCCCTGGAGGTGCTCAAGACACAACTGTACATGGCACTTAGTGCCATTGTCTGCTTGACCCAGTGGTGGTTCAGTCAAAGGTTGAACTTGATGACTTTGGAGGTCTTTTCCAACCTAAATGATTCTGTAATTCTATGATGTTGGCAGGATTACACAGACTTTGACTATAACAGAGACCTCAGTAATCCATAGACACCCACACACTTAGAACATTTGGAACACAAGAGTTTCATATGCATTTATCTGAAAATCTGGGAAATACAGATGAGACCTGAAGTATGGTGTTATTATTTATTTCTGTTTTGAACCATGTCCTGAAGACATAGCAACTTGTAAGCTGTAAGACTGGCTCTGTTGCCTTGCTCATGCAGCATTCAAGATTAGCACAGGAGTGGCAGATCTACCCTTCAATGCTTGCAGGATTTACTTGCAGTTGTCCCCTAGTCCCTCAAACTGAGCCATCCTGCATGTTATGGGCTGGTACATCTGCCCCTGCTAGTGTAGATTTTCCTAGATCTATGAGGCACAGGAAACAATTTGGTCTGGAAGAATCCACACCTATTGTCAACATGTCCTTCTTCCCTGCAGGATGCAGCTAAAGGGATTTGTACTTTCCACATTTTTTCCATTTCCATATGAGAAACTCTAAGTCTGAGAAATATGTTTTTTCACAGAAGTAGTACAACTGCTATCCTTTAGCGGATATCTTCATCCATTTTCTCTGCCTGTAAGCATTTCCCTGCCTGTAAGATATTTCTGGATCTAAATCTAAGCAGGCTTAAGAGGCTTTAGAAGTATCTTTTACTAGCTTTTTCAAAATGTTAAAATTTTTTAAGCAAATGGATTACATATACTGGTCTTGAGAGTTTATTTTTGATAGCAGTTTTATGAATTAATGGAGCTCTTTTTTGTATACAATTCAATTTATTTACCACGGAGCAAGTACTTCCTAAGAAAAAATTTACGGGAAATGCAGGTAAGATTTAAAAAAAATCTATTCTTGGAAATCATGTTTGGCTGTCCCTTAAACAGGAAGTTCTTAGCCTTAATAGAAAGTCAGCATTCCTGGACAGGACTGAAATCCATGGCATGTTTTAAGACTCATAATTCCATAAGCTGTCTGCCATTTAGAAAAGATTTCCTTACTGATATGAATGGATCATTGTGAATAGCTGAAATAAGCATTGTTTACCCTCATCCAATGGCTTGAATTTCAGAACTGTGTGCTGAAACACATGCAGGCAACTACAAATGCATCTTATGTTTCTATATGCATAACTATGTACTGTGTATATTTATGCAAAATCTTGAGTATCATACAGAATTCTGACATGGTTTACCTTTCTCTTTTTTCTTACTTTGTAGAAATCTCATGCAACAAAATTCTAGTCCATGACTAGTGTTATGTGCTACCCTAGCATAAAGAATTATAACAAAGGTTTTGTATGGAAGCCTGCAATCAGAAGCAATTGAACAAAAAGCATTGTAGTTTTATAGCGCATTTTATTTCTTGTTTTTAAATTAGGTAGGAATTAAAACTTTTCATAAATAGCATATTCTTTATCAGGTGACAGACAACAGTTAAAAACCAAACAATAACAGCGTCCAATTTCTGTGCCAAACAGGGCACATAAAAGACTTAAATAAATCAGCTTATGCTACTGAATGTATCAAAGAATAACAGAAATGCAAAACCCCCGCAATTCCAGCACTCTTACAGAGAGCCTCAGTGAATAAATAATCTGCTTCTCCACTAATGCTATGAAGCTATTGTTTGGTGTCTCTGTAGGAAATAGTTTAATCTGCTCATAAGCTTAAATTAATCTTTCCAAAAGAACGCATACTCATTCATCAGGAATTAGGCATTACACCTCCATAGAGATAACACAAATTTTCAAGACAGAGCACAGAATGCCTGAAAACAAAGAGATCCATTTTCCACTCCATGCTTGAGAAATATATGTGCATTATGCTGCTTGAGGGACTCATCCCTATAAACCCCTAGTGCAGGGATTTTTTTACCACTGAAGTCAGATTACCCTATTTTTCCTTTTTTCTTGTCAGCTCCACATTCTTCCTTTTATTTGCTACAGAATGTGATCGTAGAAAACAAAGTGATTTGTAGTGCACTGTACTTTGTACAAGCAGCGCTCAGATGTGATATTGACTGGCATTCTAGAATGAGCTGGTATGACAAGAATGTGAGCATAAGATTGCTTAAACCAAGATGGGACACAGTCAGCTCTGCTCATGAGGAATTCACACAAGCTCTTCTCATGTGAAAGCTGACTTCTAAATTAAGTCAGGTGATCTGTTAGTGAGAAGCACTGAAAGGGAGCCTATAGTCATTAGCCCAGGTATAGATGTGCATGTAGCATGCAGTGAAAGATAAATTATATTAATCACATCCAGAAAGTGTGCCCTTCCATCACCTGAGGAAGAAGGCTGTCTCACTGGGAAATGCAGCAGTTGGATGAGAGCAGTGTGCCACACACTGGACAGCACATCACAGGGAGGGCTCTGGAAAGGGACTAGATTTCTTCTGAGTCTCCAGCATCAACAAGGACTCTTTCCAAAGTTATAATCCCAAGGCTCACATTCTTCGCATTCTGTGGGACTTTTAAACACCCTCTAATCCCACATTCATTAAAGAGTACTGACCCGTCAGTGTTTTAGCAACTCGGATTAGTTCATCCTTAAAAATGCAAAGTGCTCATTCATACAAGGCCCTGAGAGAGAAAACATCCTCAGTAAACTAGGAAGAAAACATTGCAAAAGCAGTGACTGTACCTGATGGCTGCCTCTACCTCACTTCCAGGAACAGTTGTCACGTTTTTGGAAGAATCTGTGACTACAAACCAAAAGGACACCCGGTCTGTCACATTACAGAGCAGCACATTGGAAATTCTGCAGACATTTAAAACAAAAATCATCATTAAAGAAGCATGGAATGAATTGTTGAAATATTTTAGATTTTCTTAAAATATTGCTCTCAACTAAGGGGGAAATTTTTTTTATTTTTAAAAAAGTTAACAGTTAATACCCAAGAAAGAAATACCATTCACAGCATTTCTCATCTTCCATATGATTTTAAAGAAATCAAGCTTTTGAAGACCAAAAGAGTCTTCAAACAAATTTCTAAATCTATTACAGGCTTGCATGGTCTTGGACATACATTTAGTGTAATCAAATGGAAGAAAACCCCCATAGTTGAATAACAATCATCATTGGCTGTGACAAAGGCCATATAATGGAGCAAGTGCATTGGTGAACAAAGAATTCTGGTTTTGACAGTAAATACCACAGGAACCAGTCATTGAGAATTGCCCACGTGACTGTCAAATGAGTGCAGTTCTTCTACAAGATACATTTGTTGGAGGGAACATCAGTGGAACTGATGTTATGCTTTTTGACATCTTTGTTCACAGAGCCAGGAACAGAGTGGAGGGAACAAGTTAAATTTAGTCATTCTACTGGCACTGGCCTCTTCCTTTTAGTTTATGCCTTGTCAAATACTTATATTATCTATTTTAAAGAAAGATTGCTCAGTTTTATGTGAAGTTAAATGTGGAGGAGCACAGGCATGTCGCCTTTCATGGCATTCTACATAAACAGTGCGTGAAATGCCTTTTAAACGCCATTTTTTTCCAGATTTCCACTAGTAAATGGTGGAAACATCAGAAAACCCTTCTGGAATGACACAATCGCGAGTATTTAAGCAAAGGAAATTAAATCCATTCCGATCCATGTCAGGACCCTGACAGGGCTAGGGCGCGCCCCGCGCTCTGCTGCGCAGCGCCACCTGCCGGCCCCCGGCAGCACCGCCCCGGGGGAGCCGGGAGGGGCACTGGGGGCACTGGGGGGACTGGTGGGAGTAGTGGGATTGGTGGGACTACTGGGGCATCCACAGCTTCTCAGGGAAGCCTGTGCCAGTGAGTCACCACCAGTAAAGAATTTCTTACACATATCTAATCCAAACCTACTTTTCATTTTGAAGACAATCCCATTAGTCCTGTCACATGCCCTTGTCAAAAGGCTCTTTCCATCACTCTTGTAGGTTCCTTTCAGGTACTGGAAGGTGCTATAACGTCAAACTAGAGCTCTTTTATCCAGGCTAAGCAAACCAAATTGTCTCATCTTTTCCTGGAAGGAGAGGTGCTCCAGTCCTCTAATCACAGAATCATAGAATATTCTGAGTTGGAATGGACCCACAAGGATAATTAAGTCCAGCTCTTATGTGAGTGGTCCATGCAGGGATCAAAGTCAGAACCTTGGCATTTTTAGCACCATGCTCCAAACAGCTGAGCTGATTTCATTTTGGCTTTGACAGGTTCATGTCCTTCCTGTGCTGGGGACCCTAGAGGTGGGTGCAGCACTCCAGGTGGGGTCTCACCAGAGCAGAGCAGAGGGGCAGAATCCCCTCTCTTGCCCTGCCGGCCACACTACTTTGGATGCAGACAGGATGCAGTTGGCTTTCGGGGCTATAAGCACCCATTCCAGAGAGATACGCAATAAAGTGGAAAGCAAGGATTTTGCAGAGCCAAAATGATCACCTTTACCTCTCTAGAACAGTATCAATTTTACAGAGAATTTTTATGGATAAAAGAGGAGATCCATCCTCTGGAATTTGGAAAGATGCTCACATCAGTTTGCTGGCAACAGTCAGAAGATGAAAGCAGGTTTATTCTTTGCAAAACAAAAAGCAAGCACAAAATTTGCAGTAGAGGGGAAAAAAATGCTTACTTTTGGCTGGTAGCTGACAAACTCTTGCTGACTTCACAGAATATCTAAAATTGTAACTGCAGAGGAGGTTTTCTATCTGGGTGTTTGTAACAGTAGGACCCAAAACTTCATGTTGCCAAAGTTCCTAAAGCTGCAGTTTCTGTGGTGCAATCAAAAACGAGGCCAGGTGAAAATCTGAGTTGGTGTTGCCCTACAGATGTTCTTGAAATGGGGTAAGAAAGATTGATCCCCAAAGAGAAAGATAAAGGCAGACAAGGACTGTCAGAACACCCTGACTTTCACACTCTCATTCAAAGACTCTTCAAGCTAGGGTCTTCCCTAAAGTGCCAAGGTTTTTAGCATGAGAAAAGGCAGTCAGTCATCACAGGGGTAGCATCTCTGTAGAACAATCAGCACTGAAACAAGATGCAGCAAGGATTGCACTAGGATATGTAAATTTGGCTTATTTTCTGTGTTGTTTCTAAAATCTTTCTCCAATTCTAAAATCCTTCTCAATTACAAGCATCCAAACTCTGGTTTCACTGCCACCATTTTTTCATCAGTGGAATACAAATGCCATAAACCCTTCCAGGCCCCAAAGAGAATAATCCCACTCATGAGAAATTCAAAGGGGATAAGTAAACACCAAAACAGATTGTCTCAACAAGCATCAATGTGGCAATTTCAGTGCAGTGGTGCCCTTTTTTTAATCCCATGCCATTTGCTTGAAGGTTTGATTCACAACACGAAGAACCATTGCAACTATGCTGTCACACTGTATAGAGCTGAGAAACCTGGCTTCTCCCAGCACTAATGAAGTGTATTTGTAAATATATATGTGGACATTTTTTCCTTTCCTTAGCAGTTGATAGACTTTTGACATGCTATTATAGGAGACTGTTATCATCAAAATGACAAGATCCTGGTTCGACCTTATGGCACCATGGCCAAAGTCCAAAATTGGATTTCCTTTAATATACCAGTGAGTAGAGTGCAGGAAACCCTGGCAATTCCTTGGCCTGAAACACCATCATTGCTCCTTATGGAGATTTAAATGATTGTTTAGGGGTAAGAACAAGCTGTCAGAGAGTCAAAGGGAGCCGAGTGCCCACAATGACTGTTAGCTCATGAAAGAATCAGTCCCCAAGTCCCAGGTGCCTATCTCTAGCTCTCCCAAAAGCACCATGCCTCTTCCAACACAGGGCTCTGCAGTTGCTCCTGCAAAGGAACATTATTTTCTTTCCAGCAGGCATGGGATCACCTTGGTTTAACAGCTTTACTCCATTCTCTGATTTTGCTGTTCTAGCTGGTCACAATATTTTTAGTATCAAAAAAGACTCTTAGGAAGATGGATAATATTGATGAATTATTTTTTGGTCACTTTGTAAGGGAAGTTTTAGCTTTTCTTTATCTATAAATGGGGGGAAGATGTACCAAAAGTATATTCTGTTATTTGAATGAAAACAAATGTGTTGACATTCTTTCTGCTCTAAAGATTAACTAGTCTCAGGCCCAGAAGAGATGCATATTATTTCAAATTAGTCACAGATTAGAGAAACCAGGGTTACTAACACAGGCTACAACAATAATTTTTTAACTGGGGGATCAAAGGTTGGCTTACGTAGTTCACGACCATATGTATTGAGAATCAATTGAAAGGCCATATATAAAGCAGGAAATAATGGGGTATTAATTCTCCACTGAAAAAGAAGTATTTATTTGTATCTCAATTATTTGGTTACTGAGTAATTTGATTGATTGCACCTTTCTTCTGTTTTGTGCAAACTTGAAAATTTGACAAGCCTTTTAAACATTACACACTGCTCCATGATTTATTAAATTTCAGTTTGGAAATTAACTTTAGAGAACTCAAGATGTAACATGCAATCTTCCCCATTCTGTGCTGGGTCACTCAGTGGTTACACAAGGGCAACAACAGAATCAACTGCTGTTTGCAGCAGCACATTGAAATGCTTGTCATCACAGGCCAGCTTTTATCCAGCTTCAGAAACCTAACAAGAGGTGACTGAGTATCAAAAATGATGGGGCAGATGCAACAATGGTTATCCTGATCCACCAGACAAATAATTTTGGTAATTTGATGGTTATTTGGTACACTTGGCATTTGTGTCTCACGTGGAAGTTAGTTGTGGCTGTGAGTTACTTCAAGGCTGCAGGGGTGTTAGAAATTAATAGGCTTTTAAAGGGGAGGTTTGTCACATCCTGACCATGGCCACATGCATAATTTATACCCTGGCAGAACCAGTATTTAGCTATGTAAAATAATAGTGAATTTTTTCACAGGTTTTATTTTGACAAAAAAAGTTCAGTTAAACAGATGCAGAATTTCCATAGGTTTAGATGCTACCAGAATGCTGTCAAGGCAACTTTTTTGTTTTATATGACAGAATAATTGGGCATTGGTCTTTTACATCTCCTGAAAAAAATCTGTTGACATTTTCATACAAAAGCTCATGTAGTGAAATTCAATTTATTTGCCAGCAGTGCAATGTAATTTATTTGCTACAAGCTCCTGCTTGTGCCTCCCCCTTCACCACAGTGAAGTGTCTTCACCAGCTCTGCCAGGGTGCTGTTCCTGTGTACAGCATGCTGCTGTTCCCTCTGGGGTGCTGGCTGCTCCTACACCTCCATGCCTGCTGCAGAGGGGATGGAGCAGGACTGCACTCCTTCCTTCCAGCTGCCAGCCACAAGGGTGGGGAAAGGAGTGTGTCATTTTCAGGACATCCAACAGGATGGAGGCTTTTGCAATCTTCCTGCTCCCATGTAACAGGTAGATTCTTTGAGGTGTGTTGTGAGGTTCATCTAGCTTCTCCATCACTAAACTTACTCTGAAGTCCCTTGGGATTTGAGAGAGGTCTATGCATAGGAAACTCCTCAGCCAGTTGCCTAGGAAGTTGTGCCAGATCTCAGAGCTGCACAGCTCCCCTTCAGGTGACATGCTGTCGATAATGACCCCAAAGGTGTCTCTAACTCCTACATGAATTATCAGTTATACCTGCAACATATATCCTATGAGGGGTGTACCCAAGTTATACCCCATAAGAAAGTCTGATACCGTCTTAAAAAGAGGTAAAGATGCCCAAGGCTGCCTGATTCCAAATATTATAGTGACTTTTCTGACCAACTTAGTATCAGGGAATTATTGATGTGTGCAATACCACCTCCAAACTGAAGTAACACTGGCATGATCATATTTGTCCATAGGGAAAACTTTCTAGACAGGAAACTGAATTCATTAATATCACTTCTATGATTGCCCAGAGTGAGTACAGATAACTGCCATTATAATTTCTACTCCTTCCATACTGGCTTGATTTTTTCCCATTTCTTCACCAATCTTATTTTAATCTGCACAAAACCACAGTGCTTGAAGAGGAAAAAGATCACTTGCTTCTGACACAGAATTTTTGCTGTGTGAAATAACTTTGAAGGAAGAGAATAATTTTAAAAAGGACCTAGGACTAAAATAAATATACAAAAGTGAATCTTTATGGATCAGATGCTGAATGAAAACTCTGCTGCCTTGAAAACCTGAGAAAAAGTCCTACATAATAATCTGTAATTATCTTGTATCTTGAACTCATTTTTTAAAGTGCCATTTTAGTTGGGTTGAGTAGCACACTTGGCTGTTTTTGTTAAGCTTGATGTAACAGCTCTTTTGCTCAAAGGAGACCACTTCTGAAGAATAAAAATGAAACAGCAGAAATCAAACACTCCTGTCACATGGAGGGGGAAATCCCCTTTTACTTAAGAGAAATGCTGCACCTACAACAATAATCATGTGACTAAAGTTAACTAATATCTTTTCAAATGGGGAATATGGCTTCACCTGATGCAATGACAGCCGGAAGCAGTTTTATTTTTAAGTAAATTGAAAACCTTATTCTTGTTAGCCTACCAAAAGTATCAATCTTTCATTTCAGATTGAAAAACAATGAAAAAAATAATAGGCCTATGGAAATGCACTTACAAGGTTTTTCATTTCAGAAAGATAAGAACACTGTGAAAATACAGCTTGCTAAGTGCTCTGTCTAATCTGGTATCTAATTTCATAGAGTAGCAACGATCAGAAGCCTGAAAAGAATATTCAATACCTCAGGGTAGATTTAATCCCAAAACCAATTAAAGGCTGATTTCTATCTGCATTGCAATATCTGAAACTTCTTGATGGTGGGTAACTCAACTGCTGTAATACCAGGGCTAGGAACGCCCAGCAGAACACAGCACTGCTTAGCTATCCACCTGCCAGGGCTCCAAGTCAGCTCATCTTCAGCACACTGCTGAAGCTGAGCTCTAAGGAAGCATGCACCAGAGCTGCTTACTCAAAGATCTGTGCTACCTTTCCTGATCTCCCCATGTGTCCCTTCACCTCCTCTCAGTATGGTCTTTCTGCTGAAAGTGAACCAGCACCATCCCACTGAGATCCACTGCTGTGTCACTTCACATCCACAGGGATACTGGTTCAAAGATTGAACATTGCTTAAGATGGAGGAATGTGATGTTGAATATGTATCTGGGTGTCAGAAGTATAGTGGAACAGCCTGATTTTAGAATCTCTATATAATGATTTCTACAGCTCGGTACTGCAGAGGACAGGTCACTACATGCAGCATTTTAATATGTATAAAGCAAATCCAAGCAGATGCTTACTGAGTTGTACTCTTGCTGGAATATCTTCTCATTGCAAAAGCCACCATTGCTTTGAAGAGGTACTCTTCATTAGCATCCCAGGCATACTGTAAAGGAAGATGGAAAATAATTAGTTTCAGCACCAGTGCTGGTAGTACAGAGAGGGTAAAGAGTCACTGAACTGGAAATGCTGTATTGATCAAGAAAATTAATAAATTCTCTGATGGTGCTAAGAAAATAAATGCTCATTATTTAGTATGGACAACGGACTTTGTCTAATAGGAAAAAAAAAGTGCAATATGAACTGTAATATAAGTAATATAAACTGCAAAGAATATTCCAAAAACTGAATTAATTCAATATTTCTACAAGCTGACCAAACTGGAGATGTAAAGTTTATTATACAAAAGACTAGGCATATTACTAGAATTCTCCCCACACAGCTGTACTCATGGCCTTGCCTCTTTTGCTGGAGAAACTCAGTTAAAGCAGATGGTTTAAATCCACCCTCAAAGAACATTTGGCTCTGGCCAAAAATAATAATAAAAAACCGCCTAATGTTGGTGGTGGTCTCTGGGAGTTGGACATTAGGACACCAGGAAATAACTGCAATTGCAGCCTTATTGCCCCACACTGTCCTGATTGCAAGAAGACTCAACTGTATAACAAATTATTATACTTCATGTGAGATAGAAGAAAGAAAATAGCATCCTTACTACTTCAATAACAAGAAGAATGTAGGCTTCAAAACCTGTTATCTGTTCTCTGTTGTCTTGATGAAAAATCATGCTTTCATAATTTAAGTTTTCTGAGACAGCTTCACTGGGTTCCCCTGGGCTTTCATTCACATATGCAATTCTAATGATCTGTAAGAACTGCATCTATTACATTTTTATAACCGGAGCCATGACTGTGGCATACTGATTGAATTTCTTCCCTTCTCAGCAGATTACAAAGATTATTAGTTTGTTGGAATTATATTAAGAGAGGTTAGAAACAGCTTTCTTCAGTCAGTCAGAACACAAATCTAATCTTAAACTTTCAGCATTAAAAAAAATCTGCTCTGTAATCATCCAAATAAGAAACCCAGGGGTGTGGACACTTACCTCTGTTGTCAACTTGGACCTACTTTTTCATGGTCCTTTGTAACACATTCAAGAAACAGTAATGTACATCAAAAAGCAGTAAATAATATTGAAAATTCCAATTCTTAATTATGGTTTTTAAATTCTGATTTTGGGTGCATGGAGATGAAACCTCTCCTCAAACAAAGAGAGGATCCAACTTTCAGGTATCTGCAGCCCTCATGCTAGACTGGCATCCTGGGAAACTGAAAAAGGAAGGATGCAGTTAGTTATTTCACGGGCAGAAAGTGATCTTGTTTATCATCCCTAGATGAATGTTGAGTGAAATGGGCTCTCTGAGATGAGATAGGACAGGGAGAACAAAGCTGAGGTAGCAGACAACTTGAGCAGCATTAAAGCACAGCTGCACTGCTGAGAATCTGGGTTCTGACTCACCACTCCTGCCTTGTGAATGAACGGGCTTGAGAGCATACTGTGATAATGCTTGCCAACTTGGGAACTTAAACTGAAAAAAAAAAAAAAACAGAGAGAAACTCTTTGGAAAAAATTTATAGAAGCCTGTGTTTTGATCCCACTGCACTGATGAAAAATGACAGTAACGAGAGCAACTAGTACTGAAAGAAAAAGAGATTGTGTAGTAAAGGAATTAATGCAGATCGGAGCCACGGAACTATTTATCATCTTTTTAAAGATATCTGTATTTAAACCATGAAGCACAATTTGCAGTACTAAGAGGGAAGATTTGTTTTTTCTGTGTGTGGCACTATTGACTGAATCCCTACATGCCATCTGCAGTCTTTGAGAACAGGTCCAAAAGGACAGAAAAAACATAATTTGCTAGCCAGTGGATTAAACCAGCTGTATAGATAATTTAATCAGTTGTCTTGAAAATGTATAATGATGAAGCACACTCCATTTCATGCTCGCATGGACACAAATACAATGCAGCACTGCCAAGTACATGTAACCAAGTACGTAAACTATGTTTATGTTTAGTGCAATGCATATATACGTGCACCATTTGTCACAGCTCTCATAAATAATGCACTAGCCTAGCACTTCTTTAAGTCAGAGTAACAAAAAGTGTATCTCAAAATCAGGGAAGATAATTTGTAGTAATAGGAATTCCAGGCCCAGTTGAAAGAGTAGGCACTTGAAAAGAGAGAGAATAAACAGAAAACTGCAAGAAAGAGGGAGAGGAGATTGGCAGAGAAAGCTCAGAAGAAATCAGGGGTCTGCTTGGATCAGGAGAAGATATTGCAGACAACTTTCTGGGCAGAAGGGCAAGAAGCCCCAAGAGAATGGAGACTAAACAGGAAGTAGAGGAGATGGAGATGGCTGTGGGCTCTAGGTGAACAAGAACCTCTGTACATGCCTGCATATGGGAATATACAGGGGGAGGCAACATACTGAGGGGGAAAAGTAAGGCAAGAACAATTTTAAGCTAACAAACGGTATGAACTGAGGACAGGTGGGCATGAATTTCCAAAATATGGTTTCTAATCAGAAGCTTTCTCTAATCAGAGGTGCAAAGAAACATTGAATGATTTGGATTGGAAGGTACTCTAAAGATCATCTAGTTCCAACTGCCCTGCCATGGGCAGGGACACCTTCCCCTAAACCCTCCTACTATCAGCTTTATCAGCTTCATCTTTAATCTCCAAATGCAAAGGCCTGGAGCACAGCAGATGACTGAGGATGTCCCTATGCAGTGCAGCTATTGATGCACACCTTCTGCTGCTCTCGAGGAAACATGAAATTTCATTTGCAACCACATTTAAATATCTTTTTCAACCACACTGTAAATATAACTGTTATCAATGAAGCACCACATGATGGTATCAGAACTGTTAAATTTACCATCTTCATTGTGCTACAAAGGAACCAATATAAAGATGTTGGCTCAGTTGCACTTGCCATCCTTTATACATTGAGGAGCAGACACATTGTGAAAGGCAGTCTTAAATGCCTCTTACTGAATGAAGATGATGATGAGATAATGCATGAAAGATGATGAGTGTAGGTTGCTGATGGGGTGAAATGCTGTAATAGTGCTGTAAAAGACAAAATTTAAGATATGAGAATATAATATTACAAGATTGCTCTGAGCAACCTGACCTGACTTCAGTGCTGACCCAGCTTTAAGCAGGAGAGGACTAGGGACCATCCAAGATCTCTTCCCTCCTGAATGGTTCTGTGCTTAACTCTACAGCCATTCAGACTGCAGTGTGGCTACAGACACACAAACACACTTCTGAATCCCGTCTGGTGGCAAAACACAAGGTGTATGTTAGCATTCCTCTTCTTCATCCTCTACCCTGGAAGCAGCCTGAGTACATGAGCCAGAAGGGAAGTGCACTGTCTATTTCAGCTGGCTGCACCCCCTGCAGTGCCAGCTCCTTGACTCTTATGATTAAAATGAGTGGTGACACCAAGTTACACAGACTTGTCAGTGCTTATCACTTCTTCTCACTCTCCAGTTGCCTCTGTTTGAACTCTCTACCCCTCTGCTGGCTCCATTAACAGAAAGCAACTAGTGACTAGTAGCTATTCCAGAAGCCACTCATAAAGTCAAAACCATCCTCACAGGGACTCATAAATCACGTTCCATTTAGGCCTACAGGCACCATGTTTCTTCCCACAGATTAGCAAACAACATCTCTGTCAAGTACACCCATTATTTGCAAATAAAATGGTAATGGCTGAATACCTACTCCATCAGAGCTGCTCTTTCCAGTTCCATTGTGATAAGAACTAAATAAATACACTATAGGGAACTCCCTGCCTCAGAGTACAGCTTACCTGGTGAACAAATTAAAAAATGGTGTCCTGTTTTCATCAGCCTCACAGAGGGGATGGCATGTACTACACTATGTAAAAATCTGCACCAACCTATTCCCTATGCCCCTGAATGTAAACTGGAGTTATCCTGTAACTCCTGGAGAAAAATTCCAAAAGTATCAGGGCTTTCTGTTATCATGGAGCTTGAAGTGACCTGGAAATGAACTAAGGTGACTGTGTCCTGCTGCGACACAATGACAGTATTACACTTTTCTTTGTTAAAACACATAAATAACACAAAGAAGTAAAGTGCCACAAATTCTTTAATGAAAATGAATTTCAGTTTGACAGTAGTTTCAGTTTTCAATTTCAGTCACTCACAGAGAAGACTGCAATGTATATGGAAAGGAACCACTACTACCTGTGTACTTAATAAATTGTTTACAATTTGCAGATGATTTTCTATGGCATCATACCACTTTCAGCAAGCTGTTGTTCTAAAATGCTGCTCTTGATTGTCCCATTCTTTAGCTTTCACACACTTTGTTATAAGACATAAACAACTACAAAAAAGCAATAGACTCCTCAGTTACTGCTTTTTTTCTAGCAATACAAAGTGCCTTCAAGGGTAATGATTTTTCTCATACCCTTTCTGAATGAAAAATAAAAAAGCTATAAATGATCAAACAACATCTCCCTATTTTATTACAGCTGGAAAAAGGCACAAAAAAAGGGCATTACCAGGAACTGCAATTTTTGTTCTCTGCTACTGTGTTGAACTAAGATTAAATCAAAATATTAGCAGTTATCATCAAGAGGAGATTTAATAATTAACATATTTTCAGCCATAGTATTACAGTATTTTTAATAACAAAAAACCAAAAAAAACCTAGGCTCTCACTACTGTTTAATTAAAGTCTCTCACCTAAGAGAATTGACTTCACTATGAATTTCTTTACTTTAGCGGGTATCTTGAGTATTTCTTTGTACTTTGTTTGGCGTATGAAATTACCAGTGAAATTTAGGTCCCTGCTACTGTTAGTTTAAATTGTCTGATCTTTCAGGATAACTTTAAAACAGTTTCTACAGTTACAGGGAATTTCTCATATCACCAGTCTTTTGACACGTGTAACCTGCTGCTTTTTGTTTCCCAGGGTTCATAATATAATCAGACACCAGACTACAGTGGACATGACCATCCAGGATGTTTCATACCTAGTTTTCTGCTGAGCCCTGTTAATATGCTGCAGATTTGCTCTGAGTATTCAAAACTACTGTAACAAAGTACTGGGCTCTGACAAATTAAATAGTGCCTTGGATCAGGAAGGACTACTCAGTCATCTAATGTCCCAGTCTCTTATGTATCTCTCACTGCTCACACCAGTATTTCTACATTAAGCCCAAAGATCTGAATTAAGCCAAAGCATTTCAGTCCTCATGAGACAAGCCTGTGCGCCACAGGCAGAGAAGAAAGGCCACTATCTGAAGCCCTCCATTAGCAGGGAATTGATGAGACATGCTTGAATTATCTCTACAGTTAATGCTTGTCTGAGAGCCTGATATAAAGTCTCATTTCATAAAGACCTAAAAATCTTTTCCTGCTTCTCTTCCTAGACATGCTTGACTTTACAATTAGCACTCTTGAGCAGAAGTGCTTTTCCCAAAATACAGACTTACATTTATGCAGCACTTCTCATGCATAAAGTGTAACATCCCTACTGCTTTTCCAGGGGAAAAAAAAAATCTCTGACAGAAAATTATCTTTATGAAAAAACGAGCTTTATATTTCTCCTAAAGGATGCCATTTGAAGGAGTGGGCTAGTCAAATGTCAAGAAATGATTCCTGGATCATGACTTGAGCAAACTATTACAATTACCACTGCAGAACAAATTGCTTGTGCTGCCTTCAGAAATTTTATAGTATATATTACTTCTATTTTGGCAGATACTGAGTTAGGAAGACTATGTGAAGATATTTTACTTACTGCATTATCTCCCAAAGCTGTTTTGATACTAATCCGTACTTTGAAAGCATTCTGTGCTTCTGAAACAAAGAGAGAAAAGCAACATATATTGATATTTTGATCACTCAAAATAGGATTTTAAATCATTTACTTCCCTGATTATTTCACAAATTTCATTTTGTGAAATGTGTCTTAAGAAATCACCCATTTAGGAGAAGTTACTTGCATGAAAAAAAGCCCTACAGAGTCTCAATGAGGTTTACCATGACCTCTTTAAGTGAGACCAACTTCCGTACTTAATTTGCAAACTTAGAAATGAACTCAAGAAGAATGCTCAGTTCTTCAATCTTCAAACTGAAGACAATAAATTAAAATAAAAATCTTAGAAGCTGGCAGCTTTGTAGTCTAAACTGATAGCTACTTTACCTAAAGAAGGATGGTAATCAGTTCCAAATCTTACCTGGCTTGCAGAGCTCAGCATGAGCAATGGCAACTACTGACAGTGTAAACAGCAAAGCACGTAACATCCCGTCAGCATGGAAAGGTTGAGGCAAAAAGAAGTGAGTCTCCCCTGTAAAGCACTCTTAAACTTTGTGTGACCCAGGATTAAAGCATCAGGAGCACAAGTGAGCAACCAAGTAAAAGGTTTAATAATTAACCCCCGTTATTTTAGCTAAAAACAGGCACTAGAAACAACTGTCTTCTGTTAGTTATTTACTACCTTTCTCTGTAGTTAAAAAAAAAAAAAAACCTGCAATAAGTATTTAATTTTCCTTCTTCCTTTTTAGAAAAATACAACATTTTACAGAGTGTTCCAGGCCAATGTTTTTTTCTCACAGGCATACTGTCAGACACATGAGGTGTCTGTGGGATGTCACACCAGAGCAGCTGGCAACTGTTACCCACAGCAGGCGAATCTGAAGCTTGGCTGTCACTAGATCCCAAAGGAAGCTGCCACCTGTCTTCCATGGGAAACTGTCTTGCCCCAGTGAGAGTCCTTGAGGACGGAGGAAGACTGGGGGCCCTTTTCACCTTGCCAGAAGAAATGTGTGATGAGTACAGAAATCCTGGACCCATAAAAACAGGACTCAGGCATTGCCCCTCACTTGCCTTTGAACTCACAGCACTTGGGAAGGGCCAGCCTGATGGACAATGCCGTGTCCCCCCATCCCCACCTCAGCCCCACTCCTGTGTCTTGGCTCAAGCCCAGCAGAGTGAATGCCTCGTTCTACACAAAAACACCCCACACCTGAGGCACTGCTTTGCATGAAAATAACTGTTATACATAGGGAGAAATACTTTCTTCCTGTCAGAGGCTTGTTAAGGTAGCAACTAGAATAAGCAGAGATGCAATAAAGGACTTAGTAGGAAGCATGTTGAAAAGGAACATATTCTTGTTTTGTAGACATGACCACTGTGTATACGTGTACAAACACATGTGGAAATATTTTAATGCATGCTGCACTATTAATCAAATGTTTACCAAGACAAATAAATAAATGTGAAGGAAAAACAATTCAGAAACTGGAATGTGTTGCAGGTATTTGAACAGTCTCTGCAATCTAGGCAGCAAGACAGGATTAGTTTATTTCATTCTGTTGCTGTACTCCCCCGTAGCCATTCTGATTAATGGTTAGTTCCTACCTTGAAGATCGCTTCAGAATTACTTTCAGTTGGTCCTTTAGCACCATGAAGTGTCTTCAGACTGCAGACCCAAAGAGCTTCATGCAAATGACAAACAATGAGAAAATCTGATTTAACTGTGGGGCTGAATTTATGAAAAACAATAACCAATAATTACTGCATTAGATACTCGGACTTTTGGGTAACAGAGAACTTGCTCATTCCCAGGCACCTCTTTACTCTCACTAGGCAACCCAGTCTGGGTACAAAACTATTGGATACATTATCTGCTTAGATGTTCAATCTGTGCCTATGAAAACAAAAAAGTGATGCATTCATTTCTAATGACAGCTTAAATGAACATGCTGTATATATGCACATCAAAAGGAGCACACTGAAAAATGTACAGATATATGAAGGACTATTAGGTTTCTGCAGCATTTATAACTTAAAAAAAAATCTTAAAAGAATGTGAATGCAGTCAGTTTCATGGTAAATTCATGTGTATTGCTTCAATAGAAAACGTGAACTTTTTTGTACCTTTCAGGTAAACACTGAAGAATTTGGGAAGAGAGAAAAGCCAAGCACTCTTTCCCTGATGGCAGAAGGCAAATGGAACTGAGTGTGATACACAGGATCACCACTTCTCCCTGCTGTAAAACACCACAAATGAGTTCCTCCCCTCAGAATTGCACAGGGTCTGTGTCAAAGTACAGCAAAGGCACACGACACCCAGGAGGAACAAACTCAGAGGACATGACTGGATTCCCTGATCAGAGCTGCTGAATTCCAGCCAGGATGGCTGATTTTCCCCAATCTGTCTTGCTGGCAAGAAGCAAGACAAATTATTTTTTCCTGCAGAGAGGGGAGGAGGCCAGGAGAAGCAGCAGTGTGATAAACACCCCAGCTCAGAGCTCACAGGGAGAGCATTGTGCAGTTGATATATACGTGCACAGCAACGTGGATGTGTGCCAAATGCACCCAGCTGAAGGCCTATGTGCGTATCCAGTTGTACATGCACAGGGTGCTGCACATAAGCAACCAATTGCTACACATCTATAAACATTTTCCCAAAGCCAGCACATTTTTTAAATAAGCCAGGTGGACATGCAAGACTACACCAGGTGTTAGTAGGAAGATAACTTTGCTTCACATTAGTGGTATTTTTAAATGCTTTCTTAAAAAGCACTGCAACTTATCAGTTTACAAATGGAGTATACTTGTATAATCTAAAAAGACAGACAGACATTCTGCCACTTCATATCTTTGTAATAAATCTACATGCATGGATAGCTTTCTGCCCAGCCTCTCTGCTCTCATTTTGGCCAGATACACAGCACTGTTTATTAAACATGTCTGCATTTGTTTGCCACTGATTAATCAGTCAGGCATCAGTTTGCTTGAATAAATTACAATCTTCATGTACATATGCAAGGTATGTTTTTACCTGATTACTTTGTGAGGTGTTAGATTTCTAAGTAGTTACTCTTTTATAGTATCTTTGTTTCTCCTAACTACTGTGGAGCTACAAGTCATAGCCAGGAAGAATTTCATGCACGAGCAGCATTCCAGAAATATCACTGAACTAGTGCAAAGAAATATTTATCTTATTTACCAAATGAATTTGTCTGCCTACTCGAAAATAAGAGTATCTCTGTAGTTTTTTTCAGTGCTTTTGATCTACAGAAGTTCATGTATGATCTGTATGTATGTATTTAAAAATACATCAAAATTTGGACTACCAAACAAATCAGAAGAGGACTGAAATTTCAAGAAAGCGTATGCTTGGTAAAACAAACCAATCCCCTCAATCTTCTCCATGCGATTAGCAATGTACTTTTCTGCTCTTTTCAATGTCTTTGAAATGGAAAATCCCAGGTAAGTAAAATATTGATAGCTATTGTGTAAGTTAATTAACAGCTATGGCTAAACTTAACCTCAGTTTTCAAATTTAACAAATTAACAGTTTTAAACTCTGAGGAAGTTAATCTTTAGTCTCAAATAGTTGTGTCCAACTCTTACGAGGAAAGAGTCAATGTGTGACTGTCAGCACTAGTCACTCATGGAAATGTACCTGGCAAACTGCAGACCCGAGCTGCAGTTGTGCACAGAGCTCTGCAGTTCCCTGCGTGCAGTGGAAACGACAAACACTGCATGTCTTTTCCTGTAGATGTGGGGGGAACAGGGTGTTGAATGAGGACTGCCGCCACAGTCATCACTGTAACAGTACAGAAGTGACATGGTTGTCACCAAGTTTTTATCAGTGCTCACAGAAGCAGACAGTGCGTGAGAAATCATTTAGTTCTCAAGACAATCATGCAGGTGGGGCAAGGATGCACTCACCAGCATTCCCATACAGCGCCTTGCAAAGGGCACTTTGCAGTGGACAGCACCAAGGACAGCCCACAGCAGGGCTGGCACTGAGAGAGAGCAAACAGACACCTCCAGCATGGGACAGGGCAGGAGGATGGTACTGCTGCCACCACTTCATCGTCACATTTATTATATAAACAACATGCCAAGAAGCATCAATAAAAACTGACCCATCCCAAACACACTTCCTGGATGTCTCCTACTTAGTACGTATTTTCTGGGTCCAGCAAACCCAAGCTAGTGATTTGACTGCCATTTCCTCATGTTCCCTTATTTCTGTTTGCACCACCCAGGAAAAAAAAAAAAAAAAAAAAAAAAAAAAAAAAAAGAGAGAGATTTATAATTCCATGAGGAAAGGTGCCACTCTTCTCCTGGAGCATAGGCCAATACTATAGTGAAGACAACTTTTACATAATCTGTATGCTTATCAAATGTATTTTTCTTTATTCCACAGAGGGCTTGGGCATACAACAGAGAGTGAACCCTTCTTATCTACTTATGTCAGTCTACAGTGGCAGAAAATACAAGAAATGGAAACCAGAAAAGCCACAGGGAAAGGAAGTTCAAATGTGTGCCAAACAGAGTCACTGCACTTCAACACAGAGCTGCTCTACTGTGCATGCCCAGTCCGTGCATACACCTTGAAGGACACACAGAGATTTAGAGCACAACGTCGTACATGCATGGTAGTTGCTCCATGGTACTTAACTACAAGTTGTAAGATAAAAGTTTCTCTGTTCTGGGCTATTCTATACAGTACAATCTGTGCATCCAGTATTGATCTTCTCACTGACATTCTCATAATGGGGTTCACGTGGTATTGGACCATAAAGGAGTATTTTTCTTTAGAAAATATGGAAGAATGAATTCCACAACCTGAAGGCTGCCACATAAATAAACTATGCTTGTGAAGGCCTGTGGTCTATTATTCCAGTGTAAGGAATAACAGCTACTGACTGGAATACAGTATTACTTTGGCTATGTGAATGGCTCTTGCCTGGAATTGCCACATCTCTTTCTTTCTGACACTGTATCAATTAAATTGTATGGAAGTCTGCACCTGGGCTTAAAGATCAAGATTATATGTGTATAAATTAATAAAAAACAAACGAAATTGAGAAAAATGCAACTTTCATTCTTGTTTTGAAGGGAATGACAGCTTTTTCCAGAATCATTATGGATATCTGTAATAGCTGTTTTGTGTTTTCTTACAATGAGACTCTACTTTTAATTGCTGAAATACATAAGCTTAAGATGGTCCCTTCCCCAAGAACACTGGGAAAATGCCATGATGAAATGTAGCATACCAAAGGAAGAAATTATAGAATTTCTCAGTTTAGACTCATAAATAGCTTAAAGGGAGGTTAATATTATGGCACTTCCTCTGTTGATGGGAAGATGAAAGTTATAATTTCCTAATGAAATAAGATTATGAAACATATTTTGTTGGTTTTTTTCCAAAACTTTCATGGGCGTCAATGGTTCATCATCAATGGTGTGTTAAATGCACAATACTGCCATCTTCTGTATCCAAGAAA